AGTATGTAAATGACGAGAGAGAGAGGCAGTAAATTTTATTCAACTGCACTTGCCAGCTGAACTTCCGAAGTTTTTGGGGTACAGGCGAAGATAAAAAATCGTTATCAAATTAGTACTGCAGCTTATACTCCGGGCTTGCTGTACGCGTCTAAGATGCGTAATGCACAAATCGAACTCACGAGTATAGAGCGAGCGAAAGAGACAGATATGCGAGAAAACAGTTAGTTAACCATGATGGAACGTGGGACTGATTAACGTTCATTCACACTGGCGCTTGGCTGCGCAGAAAGAGAGAGAGAGAGAGAGAGAGAGAGAGAAGCTCACACAAACATATACACAGACGTACTCGAGGCTCGCTCGCGCTCGTCAATTTCTCCCGATGACTGACTTTAATACGTAATGCATGCAGCACCGACTGACGCACATATGATATGTATGCACGTTCTCTTGTACAGATATGTGTTTCTATTCGCAAAAAAAAGAAACAAGCTATATTTTACACGTATTGTTATTTATAATCTTCTTAGGAACAACTGATCCAATCGTGTGTTGTTTAAAAATGCACTTTAAAGGTCTTGAAATTTTTTTCATACGATTCGTTGTTACGCTGTGATAAGCTCAATACTTTTCGAGCGCTCACTGAAACATTCGGAAAGCTCATTAAAAAATTGTTCAAAGTCTACGCTTCATAAACTTGTTTACAAGAATTCACTTTTCACGATGGAATTTTCGGCGCTAAAAAAATCAGAAAAATTATAATAATTCCATATGTTGTGGCCTAGTGAAGCATGCACCGACTCGCTCGCTCGCACCCATAAACTATATGAATTCCTTGTACACTTGTATGTGTGTGTGTTTATTATAGCTATATACCAGCGAGTACTCGAGACAGCAGCAGTAGGCGCACAAACAGTAGTATATAGTAAATACCGAGGAGTAGGTGCTCTCCTCGAAGGATGAATCAGCCGCGAGATGATTCCGAATGATTATACCGATGGCGATGACGACGATGACGCCAACAAGGGGGACATTTCCCAAACGAGATCGTATTGAGTTTTAATAAAATGTATATCGCGTTGCTCTTTACGTGTTTATAAAAAAACAATGCTGACGTCTATCGAACCCCGCGCGTATTACGGCCTTACCTTGTGGTTTCGTTGTCGTCGTCTCTCTCTCTCTATGAGTAAACTCTCTCGGCGCATCTGTGCCTCTCTCACTCTCGCTCACTCCTTCGCTCTCTCAGGTATATATATATTAATAATGACTTCATCGACGACAAATTTCATATCAAGATTACATAAAAAAACTCAACATATATATAATGTATAATACAAGCTCGCTCGCTGATCGAGAGCTGTTCTCCGTGGAGAGTCGAACGTAGGTATATAATTGACGCGGGCGGCCGCGACGCGTCATTCGTGTCAGTTCCCTCCCACTCGTCGTCGTCGTCGTCGTTATACTCTTATCATTATCTCTCGCTCACTCATGTTGGCTTGTGCGAATGGCCCAATGAAATACGTTCACTGCTGCTGCTGCTCGCCCGCCGCAGCAGCTCGGCAGTGCTTCCCGGCCAAGTAAGGTAAAAATCATTGGAAATCGCTTGCGCCGAGCGCGAGGAGAGAGATACGTGTGCATCATTACCCCCACCTTTTAACGAGCGCATATATATATATACACATACATGCACACATGCTGCGGAGACACACAGACTCGGCAGCAGCAGTATCGAAGAGAACCTCGATTCTCTTATCTCCTATCTTTCTTTTCTCTGTTTCTCTCGCTCTCTCCTTCTTTCTGCCCGGCCAGAGCTGCAGCAGCGGCAACAGCAGCAGCAGCAGTTGTGTATATAGTTCTTTCTCTCTCGCTCTCTGTCTCTCCTCCTCCTCCTACTCGCTCTGGCTCTTGAGCGCAAAACGAGCCAAGAGAGTTCAAAGCAGTAATAGTATACAGAGACAGCAACAGCAGCTTGCTCGCCTCGAACGAGTGGGGATAAGAAGAGACAGACGAGAAGAAGTAAAGGAAGGGACGGGTACCTCCTTATTTGGCAGGGCCTCTCTTATCAGGTTTCACGCGACGACGTTCCTTGGCTATCTCCTTCTTTCTCTTTCTCTCTCTCTCTGGCCCGCGTATGCAATGACTCTCTTTTATATTCTCTGCATCTGGCAAAAGACAGTTTTTATCACGCGCTCCCCAACACATTCACATACAGGCACGTAACATTTATCGGCGGATACACTTATATATAATATTATATTTATATGTGTATCTCTCGGTATAAAGCGCTGTGTTATAACACTGATACGCGCGCAACCTGCCAGCCTCAGCTTTAGCAGCAGCAGCCGCCGCTGCATTATTTCGAGTTACATTATAGAGAAAATAAATAATATGATTATTCAATTTATCGTAATGCAGCTGCAGCTGCTGCCGCTGACGACACGATACCGATTTTCAAATCAGGTTGATGCGGAATATTTAATAATAGATTCAGATTATCGCTCGCTCGTTCGCACGCGCACACAGTAAGACACATCGACAACGGCAGCGGCTAACTATATATCTTTTATATATTATAATCCCCGCGAGATGACAGAGATCGTTTCTAATCTCGTATACACCTTTTTTTTCATTTCGTTCCGTCTCTCCGCGCGCTCTCCGATATCTGTGTTGCCGCTGCTGCTACTGCGTGTGATGCAACAGCGAAAAACTCGCGCGCGAGAAAGAGAGATCGAGGCACACACAAATGCATTATACCATTATCATGATCGGCCGCGTGAATACATCCATTTGCCGGCCTCTCGTGTGCGCGCTGTAAACGAGGAGGAAGGTGGTGGGCGACGCGCTATATACTATACGAGCGATATGCATTTATGTAAAAATGAACTTGATTTTGTAACGATAGTATATTAGCCGGTGTTGTGTGTGCTGCGTGTGCATCGTGTGCCCGCTCGTGCTCGTCGCATTAATTGGTCAATCATTATCATCATCATCGTCGTCGTCTTCGTCGTCGTTGTACTGTATGTGCACACAACAACAACAAAAAAAAGCGCGTTCGGTCATATGCACGCTTTATTACTCTGATAATGATATTTCTTCTTCCTTTTTTTTTCGTAACGGCTATTGTTTATTCAGTCAGGCAGGCAGCAGCAGTGGTATATGGACTTTCACGTGGTCGTTTAAATAAATGCAAGCAGCAGCAACAGCATAAAACTAAGGCGGAGATGAATCGAGCGAAGTGCATAATTAATATCCTCTCTTTATGATTTTGTGTCAAGGAGTGTGCAGATATTATGCATATGTTTCGTATATCCGATGTATATCTATATGGATAGCGATGCTGCTGCCTGCCGTTTCTGCGCGCACCGATTTATTTTGCAATCGTTGCACCGATACATATAGGCAACGAGAGAGACGCACATGCACACACACATAGACACGCTACTTCCTACAAGGAAATACGTGAAGTCATTGTTCCTTCTGTCTTTCTTTCTGCCTGCTTGGCTATGTGCGCGCTCAATCGCTGTCGTTTTAGTTTATGTGAAGCAACGTTTACCTTTAAATATATATCTTATAAAGAAACAGGCGCGCGCACGTAATGTCTGTCTTTTCTGGCCGCCTGCAGTGTGAATGCCTATAACATTAAGAGCGGCCTGCCCCCCACCTCCCGCTCCAATATTAAAATATATAATAATATACACATGCATATAATATGTATATATAAATACGGTAGGATTGACCTGATTTAGGGTCAATTGCATAAATATCAATCTCGATTACTTTTAGCATCAAAACCCGCGCGCCCGCGCCGCTGACGCGAATGATTACGCGATATTGCTCGATTTCTACACGAGACTTTTATGTACACAAGCACAACATTAAGCCAGGCGTGTGATGTATTTTATATCTATGCGCGTATCTCTGCCTCTGGTGTATTATAATAATATAAGCAAATAAGCCAACGCCAGATTTTAATGCATCTGCGTGTATATCGTACACGCGATGCGAACATAACGCGCGCTTCCTTCCGCTGTATAGCCCATGGGCGCAGCAGCAGCATGAGCAGCGCGAAATATCATCTGCTTTCGATTTCTCGCTCTCGTATTTCCAAAATATATATTATAACGCCGCTCGGCGCACGGCTCAAACGGGACACGCTGCTGTGTGCGCCTATATCATATCGTGTTATATTTTGGTGCGCTCCGTTATCTCGCAACACAACGACGACTCGTCGACGACGACGACCAAGAAGACAAAAAACCTTGAAAAATCTCGGGAGCGCAGACGGGAGCGAGAGAGTCTCGGAGCAGCAGCAGCATAAGTGTCGCACGATGTTATATACATCGGAGATGTTTCGCCTCGAGAATACGAGCGAGAGAGAGTTTAAATCTGTCCTATACGCGCGCCGTTTGTGTGCGCTACCGCTGCTGCTGCTGCATCGTTATCACGTCTGGTGGGTCTGGTAACACAAACTTAGTAGCCTCTTGCGCCATCGCGTCGAAAAGCTCGCCGCACTCCGTCTTATATACGTACATGCACTCGCACACAGTTAGAGAAGATCGTCTCTCTTTTTGCAGTAGTTGTAGTAGTAGTAGTAGTAGTAGTAGTAGTAGTCATTTAAAAATAGCCAACCGCCGCCCCATCGCGCGCTTTGCGAGAGATAAGCTAAAGTTAACGCGCCCCGGCTACCGCCCGCCGACTGCTACTACTACAACAAGCGCGGCGACTCTCTCTCTCACTACATGCGACGAGCATGCCTAAAATTGCATGTAATGTATATACGAGCCAGCGGCGGTGCTCTGCGACGAGTCTCTCTTTATAAACGCACGCACATGAAATGTGCATTATTATAATGTGTCGCGGTCCTTTTAACACCTCGACACAATGTTGATCCTATATATATATATATATATCTCTGAGAGATACATGTTGTGTACATGCTTGAAGGATGAAGATGTATCGTTCATTTTTTTTATCCTCCCTTTTTTTCTTTTTGCTGCTTGCAGGTAAGCAATGAGGACCAGTTACCGCCGGTCATATGCGGCCGCTGCGTCTCGAGGCTAGAAGCGATGGAGAAGTTTCGACTGACCGCGCAAAAAGCCGAAGACTCGCTCAAGACGTACGTCGAGGAGGCCAAAACAATGAACTCACAAGATGAAATGGTAAGCGTTTTTCTTTTCGCATTTATAATAATATGTATAAAAGTCTTCGTTTTTCGACATTTACATTGTGTATATCAAACGTCGTGTACTTTGCTTCCTTTTCAATCGCTTCTCTCTCTTTCTCTCTCTCCGCTTCTTCCTTCGAAGAAAAAAAGGTGCAGATTCGTTTAAGAAGGAAGTGCTTTTTGCATTTACTTTATTTTTATTTTATTTTTTTTCTCTCTCTTTGCTTGCTTGCTCGCTTCTCGTTTGTAATTCATCTTTCGCCTCCCATTCGTATTTACTCGTGTATGTATAATAATGGGCATAATACGTTCGTTTTCATTGATTAAAAACGGGAAGAGCGCCTCTGCGTGTACTAACGCAGTACCACGTTGTAGTTTAGCAGCAGTTCTCTGGCTCGCCCGCGCCGCGTCCAAGAAAAATCTCGTGAGAAATTATTATAATACACGCACAACGTGTTATATCGCACGCATGATGCCTCTCAAACTACAGCGTGCGTACGTATTAGCGCGATTTCAGCGTAACGCGTCCAAGTCCCGAGATTCGAGTGAAAAAAATATTATTCATCGATTAACAGAGCCTTCCTAAAATAATAATAAAAATTCTGAAATCGCGCGCGTACGTACGACGCCTTTATTAACTCTCCGGCCCGTATTATAATAATGTATATCGCGCGATACTACGGCTAGGCTACATAAGACGCGCGCATACACACACGGCATTCATTCAGTGATTGTAATGGAATTCAAGGTGACCGCGATATCATAACGCCGCCGAGCTCACGCACCTTGAAGGTACATTATAAAAATACATACATATACACGTGTATTTTTTTCATTTCGCTTTTCCCACGTGACTCATTCGATAAAAAAAATAAGAAAAAAAAAATTACGTGTGTATATAATATGTATTTATATTTGTATTTCTGCTGCGTGCGCGCACTTCGCGTATAATAGCGCCGCGGACCTACGTAATCGCAGGCGCATTGCGTGTATATGTGTGTGTGTGTGTGTTTGTGTCCACCAACGGATTAACGAGCGCGCGCGTACACAGATTTTCACGCGTCGGCCCTCGGTTGACGCATTTTTCAATTCCTCGATATATACGCGACGCGAGAGATTCGGATTTTCGTCGCGTTTTTTTATTCTCGGATCTCTTTTTTCCTTCCCGAAGGATCGTTAAAAACTCATTAATCTCCGTTGTTAATGATTGCACACGAATAATGAGTGGGATACTATTCCGTAACACGTTGGTAAAAGTTCTCTAACGAAATCAAAATTAAAAAAGAAGAGAGGCAGCAAAATCGAAGGCGTTTGCAAGCCCATTTAACGGATACACAGGTGCATTATGGTCGCAGAGAGGAAATAGGCGTTTTCGTACGTCGTATACCCAAATCGTAAACACGAATTACTTATGTATTAAAGTAGACCAGAATAGCGATATGAGAAATAATTTCACATAACAATCGAATTTTCTTCTCTTTAATAAACTTGGAATGTACGAGAGGTGTGAAAAAATCTCAGTTACGACGGACACTCGGTAATTAATTCAAAATTAATCACGAATACGTAACTGTGACTGCTACGTCGTAGATACGGAGGGATTAACGCGTCTTTTGATAAGCGTGGAATTATTTTTTTTTTCTTTTCGAGGCGTTGTTGTTGTTCAAAGCCGTGAGATTACAGTCATTGACCCGCATCTGCGATAGATACGAGGCACGTACTAGACGCAAAACGGAGTCGTCTCTTTAAATTCTGAATATTTTTCCATCACTACTTATCTGTGACGTAACGAAATATATTATACGCACACATATGTCGAGTGAAAGCCCGGCATTAGGATTATCTCTCCGGGGTATCCGACGCAAGCTGGGGAATCACCAAATTGTGATACGCATCTGATTACAATGCATAAACGTGCAGTAACATAAATCGGACGCAGATCTTATATCATCGTTTCGGGTCATCGTGTGTACTTTTTCTCTCGGCCTGGTTTCCCAAAATGGAAAGAAAAAAAAATCAATTAAACGCCCCCTGACCGTCACGTAAAACATTTCTGATATACGATTGCGTATAATACACGATACGAAAGCTCATCCTGCAGCATCGTGCGTGTACGAACTCCCCACTCGCGCGACATTAGCTATCTAACTGTATATTTTCTACACATCGCAAAAGGTTTGGCGATCGCGCTGCTCCTTAAACTTTTTCAAACTCCGAGCGTACAATTAATTGGCCCACATTTCGACTGTGCACGAGTTGCTCTATTTTTTCCACGGAGTTTTAATTTTTTTTCCGCGATGCACTGCACTTTTGAACGCGGTTGTCGAAATCCACCGTACGCGCACTGCAGCGCAATTTCGCTTTATCCGCGATTGCGAATCGATATACATGTACGATATATTTAAGTATGTATACAAATTTAAATGTATCTCGTGTGTGTGTGTGTGTGTGTGTGTGTGTGTGTGTGTGTGTGTGTGTGTGTGTGTGTGTATACATACGTGTGCGTACCAACACGCGTATCTGTCTCTCTCTCGGTGCCGTATACACACATACGAACCGATTTCAATTGAAAGTTTTTCGGTACGTACACACATCGATATCTCCATGCACGCGCGCGCGCGGCTAACGCTCTGCAGTGTGTTGTATATGTATACATCGAAAATTACGCAACAATAAATGCGCCGCTGTTGCTGTATATACAACATGGCACATAGTGTTGGCCACTGGCGCGGTGCACAGTAGCTGCTGCCTGCCAGTGCCAGTGCCAGTGAGCTCTCTCGCGAACGGCAAGGACTGTATAGCTACTACTCCACTCGTGCCTCTTTTTCTCTCCCTTACGGTGCACCACACATACAGAGAGAGATTATGCGCTATATATATATAGCGCAGAAACGGCGACGACGACGACGTCCAAGCTTTATGCTATAGAGAATTACGAGGCGCTCTCTCTCTCTCTCTCTCCCGCGAGCCGCCGAGTTGAGCCAAGCGAACGAACGCGCGGGTATATATAATGAGGCTCTCGATGGCTATCTTATCGACAAAGCACGGCGGCAAGCAGCGGTACGCTTTGAAAAAGACGGCAAAACGGCACGGGCAGCAGCAGCAGCAGCAACTCTGCACAGCGCGGCGTTCTCTCTCTCTTTCTCTCTTGCTGCTATACGCTCGCCTCTCTGAGAAAGGACATGCACACACAGACACACACGTAGAGCACATTTACAAACGTATATATAAGAGGCATACATTATATGTGAGATCACCGCGAAAAAGAGAGAGAGAGAGAGAAACTCTTTGACGACGATGCTTACTGCTGCTGCGTACATGTAAACACGCGTCGTCGACTCCTTTTCCCGAATGATAAGGATGACGTATAGGTCCACAACGAACGTGTGTCATATTTTCGGGTGAAAGTCTCTCAAAAGATCAGAGAGAGAGAGAGAGAGAGAGAGCAAAACCCCCGCGCGCTGAGCAGATATCTCTTCGTGTGGTCGCTCCGAAAAACTTTTCGCGCAATTCGTGCTGCATTCAAAGCAGTATATTATATTCCCTTATGCAGTCATTACATATACATTGCTCCTGCTCGAGCTGCCAAAGTCGCGGAGAGTAGCGAACGTGCGAATGTGTTTGTTTGTACGTGTGGGTATAATGTATGTGTGCGAGCTTGTATTTGTACATAATCGCGCATGCACTCGTGCGCTGCTGTTGCCGCTGCTGCCGCTGCTGAGTGCAGCTATATAGACACCGCGCGCACGAAAGAGCGAGAGAGAACCGAAGGTTTTGCTATCAAAAATGGAGTGAAAGTAGTATCCCCACCGCGCGCCACGCGGCTCACACAATCCTCTCTTCGTACGGTCGTCGTCGTCGTTGAACTCTCTCATCTTGGGTATTTGCGGCTCGGATAAAGTTTGAAGTATTTTATGTACTCACTCACTCATGCACACACGTATACGCATACACGTACACATTTACAATTCGGTATCATGCGGACTTGCTGCATATGATGTTGTGTTGTGTAATTGCTCGATCATCATCATCGTCGTCGTCGTCGTCGTCATTATCCCTCCCTACCACCGCGATGCACTTTGTTCTTCGGCTTATCTCTCGCGTATATTTATTAGGCAAACCGATACGAGCGTGTTCTTTTTTTTTGCTGATGCTGCTGCTGCCGCTGTTGCTCGAGCGCGCGGGTTTTTTTCGCGCATTTTTAAGTAATTAAAACCGACGCGCGACCAATCGCAGCAAACGAGCTCGTCGGAGCTGCCTCGTAACTCTTTCATTTTCTCCATCTCTCTCTCTGTCTCTGTTTGCCTCTTCATTTCTCTTTAATCGCGTATTATACCAGCGCGATATTTTTCTCGCGTAAAAACGTTTCGTGAGTATCGATGCCTGTGGGCGATCGGTCACACCTGTGGCTGTAAAAGCCGCTTCGACGTCGCGCGTCTATCTGCTACGCGTGTGTGATGTGCATCACAATGCGCAACGCGATAAGCGCAACCGCGCGTCGTCGTCGTCACATTTTACGTGCGCAGCACACATAGAATTCATAGAGCTCTAGCTGCGACCTCGATACACATGCACACTTTTATATTCTCTGACTCTTCAATTCCATGCGAAATGCACACGTATTATATGTACGTATCCAACAGTACTAGCTGCTGCTGCTACTACAACATTCATGCGAACGCAACACTAACAGCGTCGTAGTAAGCAGCAGCAGCATCGGCAAAAAATTCTCCGCGAGCATGTGTCTGTCTCTCTGCTGTGTATGTACGTGTGCTGCACCGTACGCTTAGAAACGAGTAAAAGAGAGACAAGTGGTTCGGTTATCAGAAGCGCGCGATCGACCTGTGTCCGTGTGTTTGTCTGTGTGTGCGAGCATGTATGCGACACGTGAATGTGTTTGTATGTACGTTTATATGCGTCTGTTCGTTTGATGTCTGCACATTCCCGTATCTATGTGTAATACCACCACGAATATACGTATCTGTGTTGTATTCGCGTGTGTATGTGAGAGCTCGCGATCGCGAGTACCTACTAGCGTTGTTGCATCATTACATGCGCGTACGTACGAATATATACTGTACTCGGAAGAAACACTTTATACGGCGCTGCTACTGCTGATACGTGCAACTTTGAAAAAAAAAATAACATAAGACAGTAGCGCGCGCATGCAGCAAAGATTTTTAATTTTTTTTTTTTTGCAGTATTAAGAGAGAGAGAGAGAGAGAGAGAGAGGAAATACATTTTTCTTGTTGCCCATTTTTTTTGTTTGTTAAGCGTCGAGTAGTGCGCGTACGCGCGCAACAGGTACCCCATGTGCGCGCGAATCTTCTAAAAAAATGAGATAAAAAAAAACAACAAAATATGTATATGAGGAGGTAAAACTACGGAGCAGGAAGTCGAGTCGGTTGAGCATGGTTTCGGGTATATACCTGCTATAGCGCTGCTCTGCCGATGCACGGCGCGCCGCGATCGTTTTCTTTGTGCCTCCGGTAAACGCTGTGAAGTGTATACAGCGAGTCTCTCTTACTCTCTTAAGGGTATCCCGGAGAACTGAATATCGATATATCGATGAACTTTCCTTCCTCTTCTTGCCTCTCGAAAGCCAATATCATTTTTATGTTAAAGAGATACGTCGAAAAAAATAACAGCAACTTGGATTCTAATGCGCCATTTTTCTTTTTCTTTTGACGCAGGAACAAAAGCTGTCAAAGATCACCAGTTCGGGAGAAGAGGACCATTTAAGGGATATCGATGAGCCGTTCAGTAATGATTTGCCAAAGCAAGAACCAACAAAGTTGGAAAACTCAACAGAGGACGTGCTCGTGAAAACCGATGTCCAGAAGGAGGAAGCAGGAGAAAAAGAAGCGCCACAAAACGAAAAGAAAGAGTCCCCGAGGCCGGGGTCGAGCCCAGTGGCACCAACAGAAGAAGAGCCCAGCGAGAGCAGGGCGAGCGATACCAAAGTTTCGCCAGCGCACGAAACTGACTCGAGAGGAGAGCAAAATTCGGTAGTGGTCGAGTACCCTCCGAGCCCCCTCCAGACGACGAACGACATCAACATGATGGACACCTCGTCGGTGGACGATTCTGATCCTGAGAGATTGGAAATCGAGGAGGAGGACGACGAGGAGCCGCCCCAAATACTGCCGGAGGTCACGATCAGAATCGAGAATGGCCACGAGCAACAGCAACAACCCTTGAACAAGAAAGCCAGATTTGCGGACTACAACACCAATGGCATGAAGAAGGTCCTGTCGCCGAAGAACGACAACGCGGCCAACAGCAATTCCAACAACAATCACGACAGTGTCATCAAGCCGGACATGTTCGGCGGCCGCAACAACGGGGTGCAGGAAGCCGACGTTGAGACGACGAAATTGTGGAACGCCCTCGCAAGGTAACGCATCGTGATAACGACTCTGCTTTTTCCTTCTACCCCCTTCCGCGATCACAACCTTTTTTTACAGTTTCCAATCGATGCCTTTTTACAGCAACAGAAACATCGAGGTGACGCGGACCAACGGCGACAAGCAGCATCCCATCCTGCCGATGGCCAACAACAACGGCTTCGACATGGCCGAGCTCATGCAGTCGTACTTCGGCGCGCACATGCTCTCGGGCATGACGCCGCTGCAGCAGGCCATAGCCATGGCCGCGCAGAAGACGGCGCTCATCGGCGGTATGGCCCTGACCAAGGACAACAAAATCTTCATGGACTCGCACTCGCACCAAATAGCCAACGCTCTTGCCCAGCAGCAACAGCGTAGCTTTCAGGTAAGCAGAGAGTATTATAACGATAGTCCCACATGGCAGTAGCAGCAGTATTGTACAGAAGCCGGCTGCTGCTGCTGTATTATTAATATTCCCGGGGATTGATTGGTTTTTCCTGGAAGCCGCACTAAGATACTTTATAAGACTGATAGATTTTTCTACTCTTGTGCTTGAAAAAGTCGCAAGTCATGATTTTTTTCTCTCTAACTATCCCGAATAATCAACTGATTAACTGTAGGCCTTTGCTGTTTCTTGAATTTTTCAATAAGTAGAACGCGCGTGATTTTATCAAAAGCACTTGTAACCATTAGTCGCAGCTCTGCGTGCTGCTGCTACTGCTGTCCGTCTCTTCTATTTCTTTTGTTTTCTTATTTTTTTTTTTTTTTTTTCATTAATAAAAATGACGAAGTATATCCTTCTTAACGAGACAACTCGTGCTCGGTCCATATTGTCGCTTCGTCGAATCTACAACTTACCATACGTAATCAAGTCTTTAAACTGGCCCCCGCTTTGTAGCATTCGTGGCAGCGGCAGCAGAGAATTTGTACCTAATTTTTTTTTCTCTCTTTTTTTTCGAACGTGTATACGTTAACGCGAGTTTAAGAGAAAAATAGGCCTCTGCTACAAGCGCGCTTGGTAGTACACCCCCACACACTCGCGCGTCCGATAGAATCGTGGCTGAGTAGAGAGCACAAAGGAAAAGTAAGGCCTGCTGCTGCTGCTTTAGCCCAGGAGAAACTTGTTGAATGGACTTGCACACGCGTATGTGTGTACTTGTGTGTATATGCGCGTACGCATACAAGCTCGCGTTCTGATGGACTGGAATGTCTATACACGCACTTTTTTCAGGGATTGAATGTGCTGAATCTTTGAAATTATGCGCTCGCTGTGCTGCGCGCACCGAGCACACATTTATAACTCGCGAAGCACACACTTTATTTAGATGTCGTTGACGCGCAACCGCTTGTGTTTTATATATATTTATTTCGTACGCGAGCCCGACGTATTAAATTGCGCACTGCACAAGGTGCAGCAAGCGCACTCGGATAACAGAAATGAAAAAAAAGAAAGAAACATACAAACGAATATAATAATCGCTGCGACAGGCGTATTTCTCGAGGACAAAAGGAGATTTCGGGTATACGTTCTCCTTCCTTTGTTGTTTCAGTCGGTCTTGTGATAACGATGATCTAGCTAATTATTCTTCCGAGAAATAGCACGAGCCATTACTTCGTGGATCTCGCGCGCGAGCAAGGCCTTTATATACATATTGTGATAAGTGTTGAGCTGGCCGTAGGAGGAACAAAAAAATAACATAATGAATTCGTCCCAGTCTTACGAGCTCGAAGCGTAGATACGAACTATAATAATGTATTAAAAATCAAAACTGCTCTCCGTTATACATCGTATAAAGAAGCACATAGGCGAGGACAAACACTTGTAATAATCGAGATGGACATTCCGATATCCGGCGTGACTTTTCGAAACGAAAACCCACACATGTGTATGCGAGCGCACAAATTCATACAAGTCGGTATAATACAAGTATGTATATCAAGGTGGTGCGGCGCGCAGCGCATTTACATTATTATCGTTGTCATTCTCCTGCGAAATAGTAAAAATGAAAACGTCGAAAAATCCCCCGGGCCCATTCATATCATGCCGTACAATAACAATACATTGTCGCTGCTTCTCGTCTCTATGTATAAAAATTCGAGGCCCATAGGTCTTGTACAATGCGCTCATCTCTCTCGCTCGTTCGGCGCTCCATTATCTCTGGCTCATTCACGGCTGCTGCTGCTGCTGCTGCCGTGGCGAAAAAGAAAAAAGAAGGAACATTTGTATAAATCTGGAATAGCGAGCGAAATGTAGGAGAGAGAGAGAGAGAGAGAGAGAGAGCGAAAAAATTTCCTCGAAACCGTAAAAGGCGCAAAATCTTACTATCATCTATAAAAATCCCCTTGGTTCCGATACACACGCACGAGGCACAAATACGGAGAGCAGCGGCGGTGGCGGCAGCGGCTTAAAAATTTTTCTGCGCCGGAAAAGCCGGACAATAGGTGTGTGTGCTGCCTATAGGGCCCCCGAAAGTGTCTTACAAAAATCTCCTGAGACTTGCGGACAATAATATACCAATATCTTTCGTCGTGCTGCTCTTGTATCTCTCTACACGTGCATGTGTTAGTTTGTGTGTGTGCAGATATAGGTACTACGCGCATAAAAGTATGAAAAATTTTCGGTTCCACGAATGTCTCAGGTACACACAGGCGCGCAACATATAATACGTATCGAAGAGCAGAGAGCGAGCAACTAACAGCAGCGGCGACGAGCGGAGGGGACATTGCCGAGCGAAAAAAGATATACTTACTACAGCACAAAAGCGCTTATAGCATTCGGAATCCTTTGAAAATTTCGTTCGGAGAGACTTATCTTGGAACATCTGTTAACAGAAACTCACACGCAGACCTTCGTCTCTCTCTCTCCTCCTTTTTTCGCCATGGCTACCTTTTTTTCTTCTCTCTCTCTATCTCTCTCCTCTCTTCGCTCATGAGTTCGAAGAAGCGAAGAAGAGAGTAAATCTTTTCTTATCTGCCGTGTTTCTCTCCGGCCTTTTGATTATATTATACGCGCGCGTGTTATTGTACCATTAAATACGTAGACGATTATACACAATCACGGACGAATCGCGTTATTTTGGAAATTCTTAGTCACTCTTTGATTTGTTATTTTTTGTCTGACGTTGTTGTTCTTTTAATTTTTTTAAGCCGTGACGTAATTACCAACGAAAGCACCAAAGAAGAATTCACTTTCTTTCTCGGTAAAAATGATAACGTGATAAAGTCTGGGGAATCATGGCTATAAATATATATAAATTCTTTTTTTCAAATGAACGGGGAGAGATGATCTCTCGTGGTATGGAGAGCCCCTCCGGTACGCGCATGTTTGTGTGTGTGTGTAGTAACCTCGATTGCTGATCGATAGGTCTGGTATAATGACCTGCGCAATCATATATTAAATCAGAATTGTCTTTGAAAAGTCGCGATATGCGTATGTGTTATTATCGACTTTCTCTGGTTGGTGATTAATTTTTTCACAGCTTGGTGTGGTGCTTGCCTCATCCGCGCATAGCATAATGGTATGTCGCACAAAATGCTCCCGATGTTAAAGCCTCGTCGCGATGCTTTATCAAAATCGACCATTTTTTCTCTGTCTCTCTCTATCTCTCTTTCCATTATAATGAGATTTTATAGAAAGACGAGAACACGACTGGCCTATGAGATTTTCAAGGGAACTCGAGGCGCGGAATCTCTGATTCTTCGATGAGAACTGATTGATCGGTGCGATAACGCCGTGGACCGTGATTTTATACATACATATATAACATTATAATACATTGACCAGTGATCCAGAAAAGTCTGTCTTACGAATTATCGGGCCGCCTTATCCGCGCACTCAGCCATTCATAATCACTCATATTATAAATCTACGCGGCGTGTGAATATATAAATATGATATCGCGGCCAGTATATAAGTACCCAGAAGTGTAATCAGTCAAATAAAAATATAAATACGAATCTCGGGATATTTTAATTTCTGCTCTGTTTTTAATTTTAATTTTTTCTTTTTCACAATCTTCATCTGTCATACTGCTGCGGCGGCGGGCATCCAAACGTTAAAACCATGACGTGATCCGTGTAAACTTTATTAACGTACGTTATAATTTATATAGCAATATGTGCCGAAGTGAATGAGAGAATCGCGCGCAGACAGAGGCGAGCGCGAGAAGAAGAGAGAGAGAAAAAAATTTGCTGCTCGCATGACGCATTATCAGAAACAATATCCCGTTATATCGGTTATTCGCCCGATACGGTTGCTTCGCCAACCATATACACATGCGTGCGTACATATATATCGCACGTCGTTACAATAATATAATACATTATTATACATTACACACAAACGAAACGAGAAATCCGGAGCGTACATAATTTTATTTTCAAAGAGAATCACACATAAATATAATATACAAATATATGTGTACGTATTATGAGCATTTATAATGTCGAAGCAACGTGTATACACGATCCGCAAAGTCTGTGCAATATTATTCCTTTATCGCCGTGCTCGCTCGCTTACTTCTCTCTCGTTCGCGCTTTGCGATGTGATATACAAAAGGGTCTCTCTCTCTCTCTCTTTCTCGCTCTTTTTTCGGGGGCCTTCGCTTCCTCCTTTCTTATATCTATTATCTTTAAAAGAGAGCCCCACATGTTTGCGCTCGAGCGTGTGCTCGCGTATGTGTGTTGTGTGTGAGTGTGTATACCTGCGCTGCTGCACGAAGGCAGGTGGGATATAGGCTACCACCGGCTTCGATTTTAAAGAAGTAGGGATGCTCGTTTCTTCTTTCTTTGTGCCAACAGCGCGCGGCGCACACGGCACATATAGTGGTATATATATATATTGAGAAGGACTCCTTATGGGATCTTCGGTTTCCCCCCTACCTTTCCTGTGTGCAGTTACATGTGTATGGGTATACACATACGAACACACACCACCAGGACGAGTGCCCATCCGCGGCGGCACACGGTGATTGCGCACTTAAGTCGCGTTCACAGCGCTGCGCTGATACCGAGAGCGACGGCGACGGCTGCGGAGGATTTATTATTTCAACGTGTATTAATCCTCCATTTATGTAATTGCGTAATTCTGCGTTGTTTTTTCTTTCTGTACTGTTAATGCGCGCACGCACACACACATTTGGTCACTTCAAAGAGTAAGGAGAGGAGAGAAGATTACGCGACCAATGGAACGTTACACAATGACAAAGCGATCCGTGTGATACTACGTTATATTATTCTTTGGGCTTTTTTTCGAAAGCTCGCGGCTCGTCGTGAGCATAAAAGTACTTATAGTTTGAAAATCGTAACCTTGAATGATTACAATATCACGCAATTAACATACAGCTTCTAAAAATCATCTCTTTCTCTTTCTCTCGACGCTACTCGTATCTATTTATCTCTAACTATAAAAACACGATGTTTTCATAAGCTGCGAAAATCGCTGAAATTTTTACGTCACGTAATATATATATTACATATCTGTACATATGAATCCGCGGTGGCGGCTGCTCGTACAGCCGTTTACGCTCTGTACGTATGTACGTATGTATGGTGTGAGGCCAATGATTCATTGTTGCACGTGTTTCTCACATTATGTTACCCTTCGGCAAAAATGTGAACTCGGCTTTACGCGCCGCGGCGTGAGAGAGCAGATACACAAGCTGCTGCTTGCCTGCTGCTGCCGTTGCTGCTACCGATGCTCACCTGACCTGGTCTCTCTCTCTCTTCTCTCTTTCTTGCTTATCGTCCGCACGTCCTCTTTCTTCTCCTTTTATACCCACACACACACACACATAAGTGTATACGTGTTTCTGTACGGTAAAAGGGAAGCCTTCTTATCTTTCGGTTATACGGTTCTCGTCCTTACTCGGAGCTCAACTGCTACTACTACTACTACTACCTGCTGCTGCTTTGCCGCCGCGCGCCTCTTCGATGTTTCGCGGAGAACGATTAGCTAAACTCGATCCTGTTTCTTTTCTTTCGCTTCTCTTCTTTTTGCCCTTTTTCTTCCTCTCCTACCTTTCTCTCTCTCTCTCGCTCAATGTTGTAGGAGGAGAGGATGAATATGCTCGAGTTTCGATTGTGTATTATGTAGTCCTTTTTGCTCCAGCTCCGAAGTATACCTGTGTGTGCGCGCGCGCGTGTGCATGTGTGTATGTTTGTATGTATGTATACGAAAAAAAAAAACAACGAGAAAAACAACTTTGAATGAGTGAGTGAGTGAGAGGCCATTATGACGATAAAATGTATTACAAACTGGTCGTTGAGATTATTTTCGGGGGCCCTCCCCGATCTTATTATACTGGGTCTTTTTTTCCAGGAGCCGCGCCGATGTGTTTGTACGCAAGCATTTTACATAATGTATCAATACTTATTAAATACACACATTATGAGAAATCATACTCCTTTTTTCTCGGGTTCCCTCCCTCCCTCTCTTTTTTACTGCTTTTGTGCTCCTTATCTCTTGTCTATATGCCCAGCGTCAAGTTATGTTTATTCAGAGCCAACATGTCGCGCGCGCACACACGATGTTTGTACATCGTAGGCGTGTGTGTCATGTTGTGTGCTCTGGCTACTACCTAAATCAACATTTGGAATATTCAAAATTTCGTCCCTCTCTCTCTCTTTTCTCTCATACCATTACACTCGTATGTACAAGCGCGCGGCTTTACACGAATGTCCATCTGCTACTGTCGTCGTCGTCGTCGTCGCGTGCGCTCCGCATTATATTAGGCTCCAGCGGTCTCGATTTTTCACAATGTTTCCGTGTATTATTTGCTCGAGGACTCGTCTCGTGTCCCCGCGACTCACTTCGATTATACATACATGACAGCGAGCTTACATTATATAGGCACATGAGACAAAAGAGACGCAGGAGAGAGAAGAGAGACGTGGGTAAAAAATGAAATAAAAAATAAAAATAAGAAATCTTTTTACGAAATTTACATAGAGCGTTATCCATCACGCGCTAGCCGTACTCCGCAGAGAGGCTATCTATCAAATCGCCTGTTATATTGGCCCATATAAAGAGCAGAGAGCGGTATCTATTGGTTCCGTGAATTAACTTATTGATATTTCAAGGTCCTTTAATATTGGATACGTATGGGTACGCGATACACAGCGCAGCCGCCGCCGCTGCTTTTTGCCCACTATATGTATACGAGTATTATGTATAGCTTTATATACCTTGCGGTGAGCGTCAATTTTTTTTTCTTTCTTTCTTTCCTTCTGATTAAATGTATCATTATCGTGGAAAAAAAGGCGCACGCGAAATACTACTCAACTCCAGGCCTGTTAAGAATGTGTGCGAATTTAAGGAATCGACTTTACAACGTAGGTAGGTAGACAGGAGAGAGAGAGATAAAAATGCGAAGGTATACTGGTTTACCATCGATTTCTATGATTCGGCTTTTACGAGTTATTCGGCGAAATATCGTGCATCATCGGGTTCCGCGTCTCCGTCTTAACATTCCTTATCTGGTGCGAGCATGCTGGTATTATAAAAAAAAAACTGACTCTGAATTTTCACATGATTCGTAAAAATTTTTATACTTACGCGCGCAAGCAGTTTGATGATCACGCAGCAGTTCTCCACAGCTCGCATTTTGATTTATGATAAAGAGAAAAAGAAGACCACCGCCGCTATCTTGCAAGAATCTAAATTCAAAACTTAAACCTGGACCGGGGACAGATGTTCGTCGATATCGTATTGCCAGAATAACGTTCGTCGCTCGGTTATTTGATAACAGCTGATAAGTTCGTATTTCGGAACAGCGCAGCTGAAACTTGATTGCAGCATGATGAGCATATATTTAGGGAATGAGCCGACGCAGCCACACGTAAAATCGAGAACCGACGAGGTTTTCTTACGTTTATCAAAAAAAGCCATACTCTCACGAATATTAGCGTTCCATTATAATGTGCGGAAGTCGATGCATTGGGAGTTAAAATTTCGAGAAAAATATACACGAGTCACTGTGTTCGTGTTATCACGCAGAGCGAGTCGAGACAAGTGTTTGGTAGACCCGACAGATGTTCCATAAGCGATCGTTCGGGTATAAAGAAAAGTCGATGTCTCAAGGAAAAGGAAAAAAAAAATGAAAGCGTACTCGAGCGCATTAGGATTATACGTTTGTAATGAGCTCGCGCGCTCTGTAGCATACTGCCTTTATCGTTTCAGCTTTCCAGCGATGAGTTTTCGAAATTACCCAAAGTAGATAAACAAATAAAAATTGGTCCACTCGCTCTTCTTCATAAGTAGTGTTAAGAAATCACTCAAATGAGAAAATCTCGAATTCGGGCAGACTAAAAAAGCGGCCCGCCAGATCTCGCTCGCTCATTAGCATGAGACTTTGATCGTTTTTTTCCCATTTTTTTTGTTACTACATCTCAAAAGCCTCGCGAGCGAAGCACATAAGACTATTCAATAGCCATGCATCATTGATGAGAAACATCGTCTCATCGTGCTCGGCGAAATCGGCCCAGATAAGATCAACGAAACGATTTTCAGAGATTTTCGTTCCAAAACTCCCGATTCTAAATCCCTGCGATTAAATTTGCTTCGAAAATGTAACAATAACCGAAATCTCATTGATTATTTGATTCACAGCAGGCATCGATGGACAGTAATCCATCGAGTCCCGCATCGACCGGCCGCAAGGAGAGCAAAGGCAGACGCAAGCAGAGCTACCCCAGCAAAGCCCCAACTACACCCCCACAGTCGTCGGAAGGCGATCATCAGCAGCCCATGCCTCTGCAACCCTCGTTGCAACAGCATCACCAATTCCCGCAGCAGACGCAGACTCAGCGCCGGCAGTCGAATTCCAGTGATGAGGTGGCGAACGATTACAGCAACTGGGCAGTCGCTACTGTCAACAAGGGAGGAAAGGTCAGTAATTTTTTTCTATTTCAGATGAAATTAGAAATGTATAGAAAGAATTACAATGGCAAAGTAATCGTAGTAAAATAAGCAGCGATCAGTTGTATTGTTTACATTTAGGTCGTAAGATGACTAGACCCAATTTGAGCCGTAACTCTTTGATCACACGAGAGATTTCGTTACTTTCAAATCAATTAGCGTGCATTAATCATTTTAATAGTAAATTTTTCCATCGTTCGTATTCAAATTTAAATTACACAGATGAAAATGTAAAAAACCGCGAAGAAATTTTAAGTAGTCGCTGCATGGTTAAAATTTGAGTCACAATAACAGAAAATGGGACATGTTTTTCCCATATTCAATCTTTGCAGAAAAAAAGGAGCCCATGAACTTTGAATTTTTTTATGAAACCCTATTTTATCACGAAATGATGTTACACCAATATCGAAGAAAAAATTGACGTTAATTAATATTATTTTTCACTTTTGCAGTATTATGATGACACGAAGCAACACAATGAAAATCTTCATGCCTCTGCTATGGTAGGAATGAACTTGACTAGTACTAGTGGCGCTCTGGTTCCCCAAAATAGCGACAGTAATTCTTCCTCCACTGCTGGGGGTAAGAAGATCGAGATGTCCTGCACAAATTGCGGTACCATGACCACTACCATATGGAGGCGCAATCTCAAGGGCGAGATGGTTTGCAATGCTTGCGGACTGTATTATAAATTGCACGGCATCAATCGTCCGGTCACCATGAGACGCGACACCATTCACACACGAAGACGCAGACCCAAGGGTGAAAAGTCAAACAGCAGACAGCGAAGTAAGTGTTCTTTGGGGTTTTTAAGCACGTGCGCTTCACTTACAAAAGCTCGAGTATATTTATACAAATTTTTGTTCGATCGTAGGGAGGAGCGAAGCAAACGCAATAATGGGCTCCCCAGCTCAAATGGCAGGGTTACCGTCGATGGAGCCCATGGATCAAGAAAGCGCAAATATGCTGGTGGCCCTCCGGTCCCAAATACAGCCGCACTTACTGCTAGCCGCTGCAATGACACAAAATCCAAACATGTCTAACCCATCCGCATCTATTAGGCCGCCACAAATGCCGAGGTCATCAATGAATTACAACATGCCAATGACTACATTTTTGCAGCAGATGCAGGTTGACAAGCATTTAAGATTTTAAATATTACTTTTTAATGGATAAGATCTACCTGCTTATTCCTGCAATTATCCATTAAAATAATCGCTTGCATGTTGACTTATCATTTTTTTTAACCTCCTACACTTTTTAATCATACTAACTGTCACTCAAGAAAGGAATCATGAATAATTTTAACGATCATTATAGTTAATATAATGATAGAATTAATAAATATAATGATCATAAACAATAGTGAACTTTCTTGTTAATTTATTTTTATTTTTTTTATTTTTTTGTGTGCTGTAATGCTTGGATATTAAACCTAAAATAATAAAAAAAACTAATTGTATTTAATCGCTTTTCAATTCTGTCCTCTTAAATAACAAATATCTTCACTAAAGTGTGGAAAATTAAATAATAATGAATTATGTAATGGCTACTAACATACTTTTTCAGTAAAGTTATAATAACGAACATTTTCCGCAATTTATGTTAAGAACAGAAATGAAAATGGATGAAATGAATACAATTTAACATTTCTTATAATTACTTCTAGAACATCAAAACTGAAGATGAACGACAAGATGAAAATGGAGAACTAGATGATGATGACGACGATAATGTATCAGATTTGCCGTTGAACTTGGTTTCAACGTCACTTGCTGAAGAGGCTCATTGATCTTCGATGTCGTACCAGGATCGTGGGTCAGTGACGTGTTTACAATTGTATCATAAGCGGTGTTATGCAGTCTCGCCTTGTATAAAAATCTGATGTTACGTCACTTATTTTGCGTGAGAATTACACGCTGAAAATGTCTATCTTATTTTTTGAAATGTTTTTTCAATGCTAAGCGAATGAATACTAGAACGCCCTTCTTCAAATACTTAATGATATTATAATATTTGTCAAAGACACAGTATTAAGTTCGAAAAAGAAAATCATTTGGGCGATGTTACGTGATGATGTAGGTTGAAAGCATTAGATAAAACAAATTGTACATAATAACATGAAGCAAACAATAGGATATTGTTTTAGGATTGATCGATGAATATTTTTATATAAGATGTAAAGAAATGATGAAAAAATATTCTATAATTTATGAAATAACGAATCTCATTCAAGACGTAAGAGTTGGAAAATTAAAACGTCTCTGATAAACTAAAAACGTTAAAGTTGAATGGTATGTTGTAAATAGAGGAAAAGAGTAACTCGTAGAAAACAAAAATGATGTATTTGGTGAAAAACTTTTGGGTATCATATTTTTTTATCGTCGTTGACGTTTTCGTCCAAAGATGCGATATTGACTTTGCGTTAATAGACGAGACAGTTACTCTGGGCATTTTTCAACGATACACGTTGCAGAAAACAGTGTAAATGTTTTGATCTAATTCGAAACAACAACGCTGTCTTTTCTGTTGATAAGTAGCGAGACTGAATTGTATACTTACCATATTTAACAATGATTTACTCGTTGCCACGATTATTAATTGATAATTGTAATTTTTCTTCGATTTACACCACTTAATTTTACTATTAACTGTATTTTTGAAGCCTTTTGGCTGTCCAATGTGAAATTTTATTACCAATCTAAACGTAGTTGGTAAAAGTACTCTAAAGAAACTTAATGCTCTCTATTTTGACTCAGTCTTATGAGTATTAGTAGAAATTTTAAGTGCCTTTTAGTTTTATTAGTCTATTTTTTGATTTTTAATTCAATTTTTAATATACTTTGGAAGCTTTTAACAAGTATTACCTCTGATCGAACTATCAAACAATTAAATCTAGTTCGTTCTCAAGCTTGATTATACTTAATCAGAGAAAAGATGCGACTTCTGCTGTATTAAGATGGTTAACTTTGTCTTTACTTTGTTCTTACATTGCTGAAATTCTAATTTCTAAGATTGATGAAAACTCATGAGACTTATGTACTTAAGTTGGAAGAAAAACTAATCTCATTATTTCACGTTTTCTCGTCGCCGTGTTAAATACTCGTTTAGAAATTCTTAATCTTGTAGTATTTCTATTGAAGACTCCCTTGATAATTTCGGCTAATGCACAAAAAGACAAATTTCAACATGAACTTGAAATTATTTTTAATTGAACAGTATTATCAATTGATAAGGAGCAAGTAAAAATGTTAAACTTTTCCAAAAGTTTTTTTAATAATAAGTTAAAAAAAAACCAATACGGTTATTTTAACTAAAAAAATTTTAAAAATCAAATTTTATTTGCTGATTTTATCTCTAATTTTTTGGTCTTTTATTGTTTTCAATTCGGCACGCTGGAAAAAACGATAATTCTCAAGTTAATCCAGTTCATTTTAGCTCTAAAAAATCTTAACAGTTCTGTGAACTGGCAGGCCTTAACAATGTGATCTTGTGATTTCAATAATTTATAGACTGGCGAATGAAAAATGAAATAGGGTTGATTGCTTCGGCATACGAAATAAAACATGATTACAACTTTTTAAGTTAGTTATAACCGATATCGTTATAGAGAAATCTAGGGGGCAGGTGCCTTTCGATAGCAAAAATATATCTTCATTTCACTGTGTCAAAAAAATTGGTAATTAAAATTGTTTGTTTCGTTATTCACAAAAAATATAACTTGTTGCCTAGATTAGAAAAAATCATTTGAGTAGTCAGTAGTAATGACACCACACAAATGGCCAGTGCATCATTTAGAGATGCGCACTTGTTTTACATAAACCTAATGTACTTTGCCAAAAATAGTTTTTAGTTTATACTTTCTTGTAACATAGAACATTATGTAGTTAAGTTTATTGAAATGATTTTTTTACTACCATTTTCTTTTCGAATCTCTTTCTTCTTCGTGAATTACACTTAGTCCATACAAGAGTATTTTAAGTTACTTCGACTCGAGTAATCTTGACTTTTTGCCGAACGTACTTAGTTTTCAGTATTTAACATGGTTTATTCGAAATCAACATTTACCAGTCGGTAAATTATTGGAATCACCAGAAGCATAGTCAATCACACATATTCAAGGGAGTTGATTAGTTTTTAATTGTTACAGCTGCTTAAAATTTTTTACAATAACTATACGGGCGTTGTAGATTTGACATAAAGTTTCAATACTTACAAGAACATACAAAGTGTATATTGATGAAAGTTGAGAAAGTAGAAATTTATTTACTTTTTATAATGTTTCATTCTTACACCGTAGACTTGTAAAATATAATTTTATTGATCATGCGCAACGTACGATTAAGCCTGTTTTTCGCACTTCCGAAGCATTTTATTGTTTTAATCGTATCCATGATTGTAATATTGAAATTTTTGTTAATCTGAATATTGTCATTTCAAACTTGAGCCAAGTATCAAAGCATAATAACTATTTAAACGAATAATGAAATAATAATATAATTCGATCGACTCAGACAGAGTGTGATGATAATCAGCAATTGATGTTTTTTATGATTCGTTATACGTGTAAATAATTTAATCTAACATATTAATATAGTTGTAACGTAAAAATTAATTAATTTATAAATATAATTGTAATAATACAATGAGATTATTAGTAAGATTATACAAAATAGTAACAAACTTTCAAGAGCAATAACTCTGTGCCAGTGTTTAAAAAAACGCACTCGATTCTTGTGTATATTTAAAAGATCATTTTTCATCAAAGATTATGTAAAATGATTTATAAAACTTTGTAATTTATTTTTGATACGCAAAAATACTCAAAATGTTATAATCTCATCACTCTACCAAATAGGTCTATATTGTGTATAAAAATCGCTGGTAGCGATATCTGCATTCTCTCTAAGAGCTATAAGCATGGCAACACATGACGGCATTATAAAATAGGCATTTTCTCATTAATTATTATGAATAAAAATGTTTAGTTTCTTCTTGCAATAATTTATGTTTTGATTTTTTTTTATTTATCCTGTGAAGTGCTGTTAACAGATGTATAAAATTAGTTCATACATTAAATGTTTAAAAGCAATGTGATTAATGGATATGGTTCGTAATCAGAACAATCGGTCCAGACTCGACTATTAATACGCTCTCTACTCTATGAAACTTGAAAATATTTTTATAAATGGAAGAAAAACTTTCTTGACGAAGTATAGTATAACTGTTATCAAATGTTACAAAAAAATGAATAAGAGCAAAGAATTGTAAAAATTATTATGAGGTACAATATCAATGGAATACTGATCGAATAATATAGTTTTGAAAGGTTAGCAATTTAAAAACAATCAATATTCGCATAAGATGGTTTACAGTGTGAATACTTGAACTCGAAGTTTTTTTATATTTTTTTCATATTCTGTTTGTCAATGTTAGTATTTTTTCAGTTTCTCGATTTATTGTTTTTTCCACTAGTAAATTTTTTATAGTTTTCAGATTGTCTTAATATTTTTATTGCATAATTTCTTCTAATAACTGTAAGCCTCAAATTTTTAAAAATGACTCTTGTTTTATTTTGAAGTCATAAAATGAATTTGTAAATCGTTTTCCATTATTTTTTATTTCGAATCATTTTCCAATAATACATTTTTTTGTTCCAAAAATGCAATAAATTTGTATTCATGCGAAAAATTTAATAGATATAAAATTTAAGCACATAGTAATATATTTTTCTCATCGATAATTTTCTTGCTCAGTGTATAAATGAGTTATAAAAGCGAAATTTTCTATTGGCCTATACTTATAAGCAATATTTATTCATGAGAATCCGGCGATATCGTTGATTTGATACAAGAATTGCGTTAAACTTATACAAAAAAATTTTGATGTGCATATATAACCGTTTCCGTCCCGAGGATAAAGCCTTGAAAACGAAAGAAATCTGTCAAAAAGCGCATAATAATCATTCAACTACGATATTTAGATTGTAAAAATTGTACGAATTTGTGTGTTTTATTGCGTCGACCGTATGAATATGTATATTTTACGAGCTGTTGTTTCCCCGAATTTCGAACGTTATTAGGTTGTCACGCATATTACACCGAGCAACGTTGAGGGGAGGGTGATGAAAAATTAAACTTAATCATAATGAAACGAAAGTACGAGTGGAGAGTTCGGAAAATTGTTATCGAAAGTCAAAATATTTTTGTACTTTAACCATTATTCACAGTTGAAAAAGCGAAAGAAAAAAAACCCGTGAAAACAGAATTGTTATGTATGCCGATTGAATCGGCTTTACCAATAAATCGTCCTGAACTTGAATCATAAATTGTGCGCGTATTAAGAGCGAAAGAAAAAAAAATAGACTGGACATCGTTATAAACAGTTGTTATTATCCCAAAGATTTGTCACGATGTCAGGTTTTAATTTTATAAAATACAAAATGCATTGTGACGGATGTTCATCACAAAAGGGATGCGCGAATAAAACGCAACGATGTCGATGAAGGAAGTAAAAATTCATTGTTTCACGAAAAATGTTAACTCGATGCATTTTTCGCGTTGTTACTTACAAAACTTGCGGACACTTTCCGCACGCTGAAAAAATTCATTGTAATCCAAATAACCGTTAGGCAGTTATTTCGCACACACGATAATGATGATGATGATGACGGGGCACACACACGATGCCGTTATTATTCTTAAAAAAACAAAAAATTACTCATTATCATTATTCTTCGATTATAAATATTTATATTATATTTTATTATTAATTATTCTTATTCTTCTTAAGGTGTGAACACAAATTAATAAATAATCCGAGAACGAATTGATTGGTGAATTTTTTTCTCTTCCATTTCAATAATATCCCATTTCCGGTAATATCGATCTGACACAGTTGTATAATAAGTAGGTATATAATGGCAGAGAATATAAAGAAATGCCGAAGAGAGCCGAAAGTAAAACAAAAAGACCGTACAAAAATAACAGGCACGCGCGCTAAAGTATTATAAGTAAAAAATCGATAGAATCATCTCTAAAGTACACAAATTTGCGACCCAATTTCCAATTCACATAATTTCTCAATCAACCCTCTCTCCTTTCATTACATCGTAAACTAAATTTCAACTATCTTTCCGCGCAAGCTCCTTAATATAATACACAGAGAACGAGAGAGAGAGAGAGCGCGAGAGGGTGTGCTGCCGCGGCTCTCATACATCCTATATTCGAACGCGTTTTCGAACGTCGCGGCGGCAACGGGTAGTGCAGAGCGGAGCGCAGAGGGGGTTGGTCGTCGTCGTCGTCGCCGCAGCGGCTGTACAGTGTCGCGCTCTATACGCACTGCATTCGGGGCTCTCGTGCGCAAGCCCCCGCATTTTCCACCACTACCAGCAGCAGCAGCAGCAACGCCACCCCAGCGCAGATAACATCGTTATATCGCAGAAGAGAAAACGTCGTCGTCGTCCCCTATACGTGTGCCTACGTACCACCACCACCCCCTCCCCTACTTTTTCTCGCTCTCTACATGTAAAACGTATACATATAGGTTTCTGCCATCAGTAGCGAAATCAGTCGCTCAACGCCAGTCGTGCAGTTCGTAACGTAGCGAAACGCGACCCATCCACCCGTCCGACTATACATCTACGTTACACTGCATAGAGGGAGAGAGAGTACAAATCTCTGCCGAGTGTCCAAAGTTATAGTTAACTTCGATTAAACAAAAGGATATATCGGTCGAAACTAGTGTCTGTGCCGCGTCCGTATGTGTCCGTGTTGATCGTCGCTAAGTTCGTCGCGTTCCATATTATTATCCGCAACTACACTGCACCGACCAAAGTGGTAGTAGTAGCAGTGGTAGTAGTATAGTAGCAACAGACGTGATAGGCAGTGTGCTATATATATACTACACACGACACGACGACTGGGATTATGCGCGAGTGCGTTTACACCCCCGATATGCATTATTTTACGCATACGTAGCCAATGATACGTAAGCAGTGTGTCGTTGCACGTCATTATCCCTGCTGGCTGGCTGGCTCGCAGTGATCGGTGCATTACACGAGTGCATTATAGCGATACGTAAACAACGTCGTGTGCTGCTGCATCGAGCAAGTTCCGCTCTGTGCTGCTACTCTCTATACCCGATCATCCTGCCTATCTCTCTCGCTCTCTTCTGTTTGTCTGTGTGCGCGATGCGCTGCGACGAGTGAGTAGCAGCAGCAGCAGCAGCAGCATCGTTATCGACGTTACGTATATATGTATTATATGCACACACACACACACGTTCGTTCGTTTCTCGAGTGAGTTTTAAATACTACATGTACGCGAGTGTTTTTTTTCTCTCTCTCTCGCCCGTTGTTTACCGCGTCGTTTCTTCTGAGTAGTTTGTAATTGCGCGTGTATGCATAATATCATAACGACACGAGTGCGCGCGAAGGATCGTCGTCAGCTGTCGTAAAGTGGATTATCATTACATTGTTGCAAATAAAAATTACCCTTGGCGGTACATAATGTCACGGGGCGCCTCGCATCAGTTTTAGCTTATTATTATTATCAGTGTGATCGTTACAAAGAAAGGAAAAAGGAGCAACCCATCCCCTGTCGACGACGGCGGCGAGAAAGTCGCGTTTTTGCGCAATCACGATTCCACAGCAGCATCAGCAGTGAATCGCCGCCGAGAGAAGAAAAAAACAACAAATTTTGAAGATTTTTCGTTTGATCGAGCGGATGTGTACATCTCGAAGCTAAAAGACCAGGTAAATGGGGCTGCAAACGCACCACCACCACGTACATTACGTTTATATATAAATTAATATATATGCCTCTGTCTTACTGTACATTATATTCGTATTATACCTATGTATAGCCATATATATATCCATACCTTACTTATCTACGTGCACAACATACACGAGGGGGGCCTTCGCGTAGCTTACATACATATATACATAGAAATGTCTACGTCTCTCTCTCTCTCCCTGTGTAAATGTGTGTGTGTGTATACCTTCTCCCAACCAAGTCCGTGTGCGTTCGTGTGGTTCTTACCCTGTATACGTGTGTAGTTCTCTTGCTCTCTCTCGCTCTCCGTATACACAACGTGTTGGATCGATTTCCTCACTTACCCCCTTTCATGCTCTTTTGTAAGTATAATATGCATTTGCCATTGCACGTAAGTAGATATGTGCTTTTTTTTACTTATTCTCCTTTCTTTCTTTTTTTTTTGTTTTGTTTAACTCTGTTTTTCGTTTACGACCGCGAATAAAATTTTTAAAACAAAAGAAAGGTTAAAAAAATAAAAAATAAATATCACGGTAACTTTTGTGCAAGGTTCGCGCGTTGTTTTATCATCACGATTCTCCCCGCGCGCACAGTACAGGGTGTGTGTAGTTTCGAATCTCGACTC